TAATGATTTTACAATGCAGATACTTAATTTCTTTATTATCAAATGGTGCTGCAAGCAACAACTTGACACTGTATAACAAGACAGACTTTTCAGGGTATTTTGTTGGCTCTTTATGACCTGCTTACATAAAAAGTTGTTTTGTACTAATTGCAATTCAGATTTACTTCTATAAACTTGCAAAATTAATCCTGGAAAAGCCATTAGTTTCAGGGCAACTCCAGCCCTCCAAACTCCTCCCAGCTAATCCTATTTTCCCATTTTAAGGTAAATAGTAATACCAGTGAGAAAAGGAGGCTGAATAAAAAGATGACACACAGAGGTATAAAAGCACCAGCTCTTTTTGTGTGGAACTGGTGACATATTTAGCAAAGCTTTTTGCTGTTCAGAACCATAACAAGGATGTGCTTACACTCCCAAAATCACAGAGGATCACATTAAGGCACGTCAGGTTAAATCTCCTTCCCTCACAAATTTCCCTTTACACAGCAAATCTGAGCTTACTGAAAACATTAACTAAATTCCATGGTGAGACATGGTGAAAGAGGCTGGGCAGGGGAAGATGAGCCAGGCTCCTGTGGATCTTGTGGACCTGGACATGCAGGCTACCACTGGATGCATTTCACTGCTGCACGAGGAGTGATGCTGAAATTCCTGAAAGCAGCCAAAGAAATTGGCTCTCAAGTGCCATAAAATTCCAGGGGCACCGCTTACGACCACAGTCAGTCCGAGGTATTTAGTTTAAGAATGATTAATCACAGTTGAATCAGCCTTTTGTTTCTTTTCTGACATTTCAGAGCCCTTTCTAGTATTCCATCTATCTGAAGTCTGGCCATGACTTGATACCAAAGGAGACTGTTTGAAATAATTCCATTTACTTTGGCCTGCATACAAGTCTGGATAAAGGTTTCAGTCAAAACACCTCTTCACATCATAGAATGGTCTTAAAATGGCACACAGAGATAACACAGCACGAAGACATTAAATCTGCTGTGCACTTCAAAGTGCTCTCAGAGTTATTTACCAGCATCAGTGGGTTGGCCTCCAGGGGAAGCACATCCTTGACCAAAACAAGGACTGAGCCACACTCCAAATGCAGTGTTTGCATGCAAATACCAGCACTGAAAAAGCCTCACAAAACCCAGAATTAAGGAAACTCACATAGAAAATGTCAACAATTCTATGTTGAAATAGAAATCCTTTTCTATTTCAACACAGAAATCCTTCTACGGATTTCAACAATCCATAGAAATCCTTCCCAGGATTCTGGGAAATTCTTCCCAGAACAAAAACTTAGAGGAGAAAGGGATTTAAGGTCAACAGAGACCAATGGCTAATGCAAGGCAGCAAATACGCTTATTTTTATACCAGAAAGCCAACTTCAAAATCTATTTAATGTCACCCATCACAAGACTCAAAATCAGTATCAAAGGACTGCAATGGAAAGAACAGAAAGGACCTTAGAGTTCAGAAGTGATCAGAAAATATGAATTTAGTAGTGTAGAGCCACAGAGTGAATTTTTTTACTTGAGGGATGCAGAATAAAACAGACAGAATATCAGTCTGGGAAGAAAATTCAAGGATCTCTGAAGCACTTTTCTGATATGGCTGCTTGCTAAAGGTGCTTCTTTTATTTGTGTAATTCCATAAATATGCTTGTAAATTACTGCATTTAACTGCAAACATTGACAGACAGGACTTAAGCACATTGAGAATCAACCCTGAGACCAACCTCATTTTCAAGTAAAATACTTTCTTATGCTTAAAACTTTATCACACACTCCAAAATGCATTAGGAAAAAGACTTTGCATCATATGACTCGTGGACAGTTTTCCAGGAGACTGTTTTCCAATGTGAGAACTACCACATCTAACAGAGCCTGAGAAGGTTTCCCACAAGGTCGTGAATTTCTTCAGAGAACCATTTAAATCTTGTATTACCCTAACCTACCCAGAAAAAATGGAACAAAGCCATTGCTTAAGGTTTTTCACTGGATTTTTCCATATTAACGTAACAGGACTACAGGAATCCTTTTGTCTCAAGTTAATGTAGATTTTATTTTACCAGTTTGTAAATATTAACCCATACATGGGAACAAATCTGACAGAGGCTGGGAACTAAAAGATAGCCAAATATTGCAGTGGTGTCCCTTCCCCCAACTTTAAGTAATTTCACTGGGACTCCACTGCCCTAAAATCACATTGCAATCAATGCTGGCTGCTTGGGAACAAAAGGAATGGGAACAGTGAATCAAAAGGGAGCTATTTTAAAAACCTCTGTAATTATGTCTCATCCATGGGTTAGATGACACTCTAACCATTCATCTTCCTGCCTGAGAATCCAGAACTCTCCAACTCTGTTACTGTACCACAGGAATCCCAGCTCTGGGATCTGCTTCCAGGACTTTCAGGCTTCCATTTTTCCAGTGGATTACACATCATTCATACACCAAATTGTACCAGGTGTGGAAAGAGAATCCTTCAGATGAAATGGCCTCACACTGACTCCCAATAACTATTCCCCAAATCCTGTGCCTTCAGTGTAAGTGCTTGTGTTCTCCTGAGACAACTCCCACACAGAGAAGTGCTCCTGTGCTCAGCCTCCATTTCTCAACATCCCAGGACAAATAATTTGCAAAGAAAATGACAAGGAAAAGGCTGGAAACCCAGTGGATAGCTTTCCAGCTCCTCCTCTTTCTTTCCTTCATTTAATTTCCTTACCTGACACCAGTAACATCAGACACCCACAGCCTGTCACTCTTCCACAGCAATTTCATTAAGGGGAGGGAGCCTCTAACATCTCTATTAAACTGCAATAAAGCAAAATCTTCCACATGAAATGCCTCTAAGCCAACCAGGCATTACTGAAATTACTTAATCTGCAAAGTCAGTACTTCCCCACCCTACTTCACCACTCCCAACCACTTCACAAGAGCAGCAGCATTATCCAGCTGCATTTCAGAGGTTTGGTTGATAATTTGGTTCTGGTGTTCTATTTCAGTGAGGGAAAAGTGGAACTACAGAATTAATGTCAACCTGATTTGCAATTCCATTACTTTTGTCTACTTGTGAAACAAATACATTCAGGAAAAGAAAAATAAAATAGAACAAAGGTCCTTGCAATTCAATTATTAGATTATTGCTGTCCCAGCAGAGAGCATTATGTGTGTTCTAATCTCACATGTACAGGCTTTTCTTCTTATCCTCCCCAGTCCCTGCTCCAGCTTTAATTACCTAACACACTGACATATGCAGGTTTCTGGAAGACTACAATGTGTATTCTACCAAATCACAGCCATATCAAATAGTCATTAATTCTAAGCAAGGGAAGCAAAAGAGCTTCTCTGAAGGAAACAAGGAGTAAAACACTCCCACTACAATTTAATCAATTTCCATTATTTAAGAATGAAATCTAGAAGCATTGTGGGAGCGTTGTATTCTTGATGCAATCATTTTCAAATTGCAGCACTGGCTCAACAAAACATTATAATAAATAATACAGATGTAGAGTGGCTCCTCTAAAGCAATGCCTCAGGTGTGACCTTTATTTAATCCATGTACACAAAGTTTTAGTAAAACTTTTTTTTTAGTAAAGCACTACAAGCAGCTGAACCCCAAGTTTCTTAGCCATGATATCTTTTAGAAATGGGATTTTTTTTTTTTTTTGCTATTATTGCCAGATTTGTTTCTTAAGTGACCTGGTAAATGACATCCATTCCTTTTACAAGTCCTGAACCATGCAGGTTGTAGAAGAGACAAGGGATGTTAAATTGCAGTGTCTCAACATAAACAAACTTTTCAATATCTCCAAAGAGTAGAGGAAGTAATCAAAACCTTTGGTTCAAGGTGGTGATGTGACAGCCTTTATGATGATTCAGATGACAGAGGGCAGATTTTTTCAACTCACCCATCTTCTTCCATCAAACATAACATTATAACATTCTCTTTATTTGGCCAGCACACAGACATGAAAATTCAAGTTGGCAAAGGGGACACAAACAAACACATCATCTAACAAAACAAGAGGGGTTTGTTATTTTCAGAAGACTGAATCATCATGGTCACCCATTGCATAGGCCATAATCCAGATGAAATTCTTTCACAACCATCACTTTAATGAGCCTCACAATTTTTGGCTATTTGAAAAGCAGCTGAAAACACTGCAGATTTTTAGCACATTTTGAGAGGGGGAATAAAGGAAATTAAAACACTTTGCCTCCTTCCTAGATTTTGTGAACTTTTTCTCTTTCCTTATTATTAACAGATCAAAATGGTTATGTGTAAGTGTTCAGCAAACTGCTATCAATGTTCAGCACTCTGAAATTGTATCAATAGTATCTAAAAGCTTAAAGATATGCTTTAATATGCTTAAAGAGAAAAGGTACCACATTCACAAGATGTAATGCCACAAGAAAGACACTCTCAGGCACTGAGGTCTGAACAAAGGTGAAGCCACCAGGGCTTCCAAAGCAGCCAGAGTGGTTTCTGTAAATGTTCCATGGATTCTCCTGATCCTCTCCTCAAAATCTCCTCTGGCTCAAGATCTCTGCTCACCAAAGTTCTCACTGGTTTCATGGAGCAAGTCCCCAGCCTCTAACAAAAAATAAAGAGTAAAACCCAGCCAAGCCCAAGAAGACTTCTTATCACTGCCTGGAGTCACTAAGCAACAGTTACAAATATGCCAACCTCAAAAAGGGAGAATTTTAGTGTATTGGAAGGGATCCTGTAAATACAAGATAGCCAGGTAACCAAAGGACAAATAATTATCTGACAGCCTTGAAAACCTCTCTTAAGCCAAGATGTAATAAATAGCACATGCAGCTAAATTGGGGGAAAAAAATAAATAACTAAGCCAAGTTAAATAGTAACCAGCATTCAAATTTAACCATATAAAGTCTACATTAAAATCCAAAATGACAATTACAAAATATTATATTACTATGAACACTGTCAAAAGCTTTGAATAACAGCACACAAAGGAAATAAGTGAAAACACACTTTACCTTGTATCTCATTTTGGGGCATGAATGAATGTAGAAACCCATATAATAAAAACAGAGATCGGGAGCTTTTACATAAAGCTGTCTAGTAAAAGCAATTTCCCTGTGAGGGGAAAGAAAAGACTAATTACATTTGAATACAATTCTTAAAGTCATTTTACCACTTCATATTGAAACATTTTACAGCTACCTGGCTCTTAATCTATATAAAGGACTAGACTTCAATAAAATAAAAATGAGGATCTTAAACTGCAAACTAATGTTTTCAAAAATCCCAAACATGATAAACTGAGAATTATTACTTAACAAACAAATCACCAAAATGCACAACACCATGTCAGGCTTAAAAATACTTTAAAAATTTTGTGTTCTGGTCTGCCAACTGCCTGATTTGAAATCTAAATAAAGATTACTAAGACACTCAGTTTAATACATTTTTTGCCAATATATGTGTACATTGGAATTCTATAGAACTCTACTGGTATTTGGGAATTCTACTGGTTAACATGTCTGAGGAAAACATCAGAGTGTTTTTTAAAAATAAGCTTCAAGGATAAGCCTCTTGTTTGTTCCATCATTTATGCTCCAGCAATTTGCATGTAAAAACATCCATCTTTATGCAACAAAATGTGTTTTTACCCATCCCATGTTTGTCAGTATGATTTTCTCATTTATTCTGAAAGAAAAATGTCAATGTATTCCAAAAAAAGTTTCTTTTCATTTTACTGGCACAAGAAAAGCGCTGTTACTACAAAGTCTCAGCCAGTGCTTCCTCTATAATGATCATTTTTGCAGCATTTCTATCTGTGCAGATAACTTCTGTAACAAATTTGATAAAAAATGGCTGCTGGTTCTTACTGTTGTCAGAGGGATAAGATGTCCCCTGCTCACTGCAGGGGAGTTGGAATAGATGATCTTTAAAAGGCCTCTTCCAACACAAGCTATTCTCTGATCCAAGATATGAGTACATTCATATAGGAAGCATCTACAAACACTGGAGGTGATTTATCCCTTAAAATTAAATTAGTATTACTCAGTATTTCTTGATATTTTTTTTTCCCCTTTGGCAAGACTGGCCTTTCCAAACAGCTTTTTCTCGCCTTGTTCTCTACTTACATGCCTACATATTTCAAATGATCTTCAAATCCCATCCTTTCTACAACTCAGCAGCAACAATTCTCAGAGTGGCATGAAGTGGAAGTGACAGCAGTGCAGTCCAACCCCCTCAGAGTAAAATTGGCAACAGCTTTGAAGGTATCAAATTCCTTTGCAGCTTCCTAAGTCCTCCCTAACTCAATTTTTTTTTTCCCCTTTTTGAAAGAAGAACGAGGTTGGCTCCCTCCAGGACTGTTGGGAACTCATTTTTATTGCCTTAAATGCTGCAGAATTTACAAGCTGCTTTTTCACAAGTTGAGCCATTTGTGCATGGTGCAGTGAAAAAGATTTAAATTTATTATGTAGAAAAATTAAAATAATTTAAAGAATTCATAAGCATGGATTATGCCAGTCTACTATTACATAAAGTAATGTGATATGTACAAATACTAAAAAATAGTTCTTAGGAGGACTTAGGATTTTATATGTTCATCTTGCAAGAAAAAGAATTAGTCTAAGTTCAAGTATCTAACATTTGCAATGGAATAGTTCTAAAGATCTAGACCACTAAGAGAAAAAAAGATCAATTCTAAGTCATAGGAGTTCTGATGTTTTTCCATATTTGTTAATTCTGATTAATTCTACAAAATTGTCAGATCCTAATCAAAATCCAATCCAATTCCGATTAGACCTTTGAGATATTAAATTGCACGTGGTTTATTAGTTATAGCAAAGGTTTATGAATTAAGTGTGGTAAGGAGCTCCCTAAAAGTGGTGTTTGTGCTTCACAAAGTTCAAGTCATGCCATTTACCCACCCTGGAGGGTGACACTGAACAAGAGCTGAGAAGCTGCCTCTCAACAGGAGGCCCTGGAGAAAGGAGAAAGCTGGATCTCACAATTCCAGGGCTCCTTTTGCACCTGACAGAGTGCAGTGCAAATCTCCACAGGTGAAAAGATTCATGCTACAGCTTCTCAGACTCAGACTTGTAAATAGACACGTTTGGCGTGAGGCTCAAACCCAGCTGCTTCATGAGCACCTCCCTGGGACACCACATTTGTCTGTGGCCAACTTATTTCATATTAACAGAGAAGCAAAAAAAAGGTAAGAAAAAAAATAGTTATACAAGTATTTCCACTCATTTAGGGTTTGTTCTTTTTTTTTCCACTTAAAATAACAATGGAATCATAAAATTGCCTACAGAAGAAAAGCAGTAACTTGCAATTTCACATGCAGGTTTTATTCACAGTGAAAAGCAATACCCACAACTCCTACTGTTTTGCAAGGCCATGTTGGATAGTTAATTTAAGGCCTTAAAATTCATAGGATTACTCTCTCCATCAGGCTTTCTGAGAGAGATTATGAGAAAGGTAATGAGATTAACATACCTGGAAAATATACTTAGTGCTAGTACAGCAGGAGAGCACTAATTCAGAGGACACTTTTTAGGTACTCTTATTTATGATCTCAATGTGCATAAAACTATAAAAGTGATTAATTTCATCTGGTGACTGGGCTAAGAAAAAGGTCAAAGGAAAAATTATTCCTATTCAGACAAAAAAAGGGGCTTTTCCTGCTGAAACCAAGCAATATTAAACTATTTTCAGGGGCAATAAAAACGAGGCATTTTCTGTGTGTTTTTATTAACCTGTAAAAGTCTTTAGCTAACTAGAAAGATACATCCCTAGTCAAGGATGACAATTAAAAACTTACTTGGAAGGCAACCAACCCCACAACTACTTTGCTAAAGGTAGTGTTACTATAAACTAAAAATAAAACCCCAAGTTTAGAAACAAGTATCAATTTCTATGATTTGTCCAACCAGATAATGAAAACATTCTCTTACCTTAACGCAGAGTAGACTCCCAAAGATAAGAAAGAAAAGTCTGGGTCGTAGTACAGATAGACTGAGGACACACAGTAGGGCAGGATATCAATTACTCCAACAGCAATTATCTTCCCATCCAGCCAGTATTGCTGGTGGAAGGAGCCATAGCCACATTCCGGCCCACTGGGGGCATGCTCTGCCTAAGCAAGAACAAGAGAGGGATTAACTCCCTGACAGACTTCCAGTATGAAAACAATTTTAAAGAGAATTTCAACACGTAAGTAAATACTGTAAAAAATTTTGCTGGCCATCTGTATTTAGAAAAAGGGAAAAAAGCATTTGAAAGGCAGGGAAAACACTGTTAGTGGATCTTTTGGGTATAACTCACATATCACACATCCCAAACGTGAATTTGAAATAGCCTCTGCCATCAAGCACTTATGGTACTAACAGGATAAACCAACAGGATTCATCAAGTTATTAATGAATTATCACATGCTAACCTGGTGCCTCCAACACTCCCTCTCACAGCAAGGACCCTCCAGACCCTCTCTTCCACACCCCCAAGCACTGGAAGCACTTTAGCCACAGAAACTGAGCTCCTCAAAGTGGCAATTAAATTTACTTCAGAGGACCATTTCTGAAAAAACCTGAGCAGCTCATTCTTTATGTGATGTTTACTCTCTATAACTAACAAAACACCTTTTATCCAAAAACCTGAAACTGTGTGGCAACAAAATCTGTGGAACCTCTTCGTTGTCAGCCCACATCAGAGCAAATCCTGCGACAATACCAAGGGACTGGCTATTGCTGTGTGCTGTGGTTTTGGATGTGCACTCAAGTTTGACTCTGGATGAGGTAAAGCACCTCGAGCCAGAAACTGATGCTTGAAGTTAAGAAGAAAATGATCTCCCTAATTTAAACTGTATTACACAACCAACTCTGGCATTTAATTTTCTCCCACGTCAAGTTTACTTTAATCCTGAATTCCACCGTGCTCAACTTAATTATCCATCTAGTCATGTTTTTCACTGCATTGCCAGGTCTTCAGAAAGCTGCTTCTCACTCAATAAATCTGACAATATTGCCTGCTATTACCAACTGTTTTGCATTACAACAGCAGAAGGTGGGTTTAATCAAGTATTTTGATACAGTAGCCCAGACTGAAGAGATGATAGGCAGGAGAAGTTACTCTAATTGGTACCACATGTGTCAAAAGAAATCAACCACGTGAACAAAAAATCATTTCAACTGGCTTACCCAATCAGCAAGTTCCTAAAGAAAGGCCACATAACAATATCTTTGAATTTTTATATAGTTATATACCATAAAACTAAATGTGGAGCTACGAATACTCTAAAAGTGAAATGATGAAATGTTTGAGAGCTCCATCTGCAGTATGTGAGGACATTAAACTCAGATATAGCACATTAAACTGGGTTTCTCTTCCTCAAGTAAAGCCCACCTATCCAACAGTTTCATTATTGGTTTCATTCAGTATCATCAGTCAAATGAAATCACATGGTCAGTGGTAACATTTTTAAGCAGGGACACAGTCAAGTAAAAAATGTTCTCTAAGGATTTCTCAGCACAGGTTAAGTTCCCTTCCCAGAGTGCAGTCAGAGAGAGAAAAACGAAACATCTCAAAGCCATGGGGAAATGTGGTTGGTAATAGAACACAGACTTGCTTAAATAAGTTTCAGTTTAAACAGATTTTCTTTCTTTGTTAAAAATTCATCATATAGGATTTAATGAATGTTAAAGAAGATGGTCTAAGCCACCATGGAAAAGATTTTCACTCAAAGCAAAGTCTTCTGAAGTTAAACAAATGCTGTGTCTGTGTATGACTCCAAACCTCCAAAGAGCAGCATGGATTTGGTCACTGGACCACTGCAAACTGCAGCGTTAACATCAGTTAAAACTTTTGGTAAAATACAATCTGCAGTTATTTCACTAATGCAATTACAGTGAAATGTCATGAACATAAGAGAGTCTATGTTCTGGAACAAACATAGTGAGCACAGCACTGATTTCAGGTAAAACAATCAGGGATCTCTGTTACATTAAGCAAATAACTTTTTAAAAAGAGTAAGATTTCCCTCCACCTTCAAAAATTCTCATACAATGTAATCCTTTGTAATGCTTGTCAGTATTACATTTTCTCCCATTTCTCAATGAACGCTTGGCTCTTTAACTCGATTTCCTGTGCACTATCCAGGCAATTTAACCTGAAACAGGTCTAGAGAATAGGAAACATTTTCCTGAAGCAGGCTACAGCATTTCACACCCCTGACATCTCCCCTTGCACCGTGTTTGTCAAGGTAAATGTAAATGTAAATGTAAAATACACCGGTGACATCAGGGGAGCAAGCCCAACCAGAATGGGCTTATCTTCTCCACCCAAAATTATACACTAGCCCTGGAATCATTCCAGAAGGACCAAAGTATTTAAAATTAACAGTTTATAGTTCTATTTCAAAACAATGAATTATTATAATCTGATGATATTGAAAAAAATCCAGGACAAAATGGAAACTACAATTTCCTCTCCAATGTTTACAGTGTCATGCAGAGAAAAATACAATATATTCCATTACATGTTAATTCTACCTGTCTTCACATCCTGCTAGCTAATGATTCCATGAACACGTTTGATTACTTCTATTTTACAACCCATTATTAAAATTTAAATATTTAACAGAACTGATATTATATAGTGCCAATTAGTACCTCAGTGTACTAACTACTTACAACTGAACTTCAGTGATGGTGACAACACTCGAATTTCTTCAAAGGACGTCGGTCAGTCTTTAATATTAACTGGTATTTTGCTTATTATAATTACCAAAAATGGGTCCTGCCTGTACAATACATGATTATTTTTCTCTGTGAGGTTTCATGAAGTTTCTTATTTTCTACTTTTCCATTTTACACTCTGCTGTGCATGGAGGGAAGAGGAAGATATTAAATTTATGCTATCAAAGAAAGAAAAAAAAAAAAAGCCAGGAAACCCTTGACTTCTCTACTCCAGTGGAAATTATTTGCCAAATAAGCAAAGTGATTAATTCCAGCAGTTCCTTTCCCAATGGCACACACACAAATCTGCCATATGGTAGATTTCTATGTCTTGGTTAGCAACACATTTCCTTTCCAGATCTCTGTCCTACTTTCATTAGGGATTAGTAGGACACTCTTAACAGATCCACATTCTGTGCCTGACTGGAAAATCTAGAGTTTGAGCTGGTTCAAATGTGAGTCAAGTACCACCTTCTAAGAAGGTGATCCTGAGAATTACAGGCTTGCAATGGTCTCACTTACTAGATCTCCTGAAAATTAAAGCCTATCAATAAAAACAATGTGAAGCAGAGGCTGATGTGCTTTTTGAAGAGCAAAGATCAATATTCACAAACATCTTTCACTTCTTTAGAATCAAAGCATCTCAGCACGGTTCATAGGAGAACAAATGATCATTTGCATTACAGAAAACAGATCACTTTCCATCCTGCTGGATTCTCCAGACTGGCACATGAATCAGTGAAGGCTGAACGATGCTGCAGCAAACTAGGATGATGATTTTTAAGTATTCAGGATGGTTGAAAAAAAACCTGAAAGTAAATAGCTCCAGAAACATCCCATAATTCTGAGTGATCCAGAAGGCAGATACCAAATGTTCATAAACCCATGGAGCATAAACACAGGCTGGAAAACATAGTGCTGTAGGCACACCCAAAACAATGGGCATAAATCACCAGCTCTTTCAAAGAGATTATTTTAACAAGAGTTTTATAAAATTGTCAGTTCAGTGCTTAACATCAGTCAAGATGAAAAAAAAAGTCTAAGCAGCAATTAGAGAATAATTTGAGAACAAAACAAAGTTATCCCTTGACTGCATAACAGCATGGCCCATCTGGGTGCTGAGGCTCCTTCCAGCTGCTGTCTCAGGACAGGATGGAGCAGCTCTGGCAGGACAAACACTGAGATGACCATCAGCGATGCTGACACAACTGGCCCATGACATCCCGCTCACTCACTGAGCACCAAAAATAAGGAATCACCCTGAACAGTTTGGATTTCCCTTGGGACTTTCTTCCAGGAATTTTCCCACCCTGGCAAGAGCAGGCTCCCAGCCTGCAGTGCTCTGGCTGAGTCCTGCAGGCTGTTCCCCTCTGCTGAACCATTACCACCATTCCATATCTACCTGTGGTAAAATGAAAAATGGTTAAATGCAGCCTCTAAAATGAAAGGATGAATAAGAAACCACCTCAAACAATTCACTTTACATTATGCTGCTTACTGCTAGAAAACTGCCTAGTTTTCTGCTACTTCATACTGTATCCTTTCTTTAAAGCATTCATTTTTTCTGCCAGAGCCCACAGCCAAAACAGAAACTAAACTGAATAATAAAAAGAGGAAATAAAAAAGACAGGAAGAGTTTGGGTGTTCATACTATTTGCAGCTAATGATAACATTAAAAACTCCAGAAATTACAAATTGAAAACCTGTAAGGTTTAAATTTTGTTTTAAATTATTTTTGTTCAAAAGAGTAAACAGACTACACACTGCTAGATTTGCTTGTGGCAACTGTTTCAGAATAAAGAATTTCAAGAATCCCTTGGCCTCTGATATATAACCCCTTTTATTTAACTTCATCTAATTGAAGACATCTGTAGTGGTGCCACACAAAATTTAATCCAAGCTTCAAAATGTCAATAAAAAGTGTCTGTAAGAAACAATATGGGTATAAACCTAGCAGGGTAGTGTGCATCAACATCTACATAGCCATACAAAATTAAGAATATAATGGCAGTCTGCTGCACGAGTTGACGAGGTGATAAAAGCCCTTTTCCTATAAAGTCTAATGAGCTCTATTACTCTTCAGCTTTCAGGAATGCAAAGGCCAGTGGACTCAACAGAGAAAAGCAACAAACTCTCCACACATGGATTCACTCAAACTGCCACATATCAAATTACCAGTGTAATTACTATAACCTGACAATTTCATTACAGTCACGTCGTCCTGAACCCTTTAGGACTAAAAAGAAAGACACTGCAAGGAATCCATGGCAGTTTGCTCACTTGAAATGAAGGAACAGCATCTCTCCTCAACTTTTACCTCAGATTGTAGTCAAATACAAGTTTAGCAAATTATTTAGGAATACAGTCTTTTCACAGAATTGAATCAAAACCCACAAAAGACAGGGCCTTTTGTGCTTCTATTTTTTAATGCAGTGCTATGAAGTTCAGTGGTAGCTTATTACCCAGCAAAGGAGTCCTCAGGCTCCTTTAGAAACACAGCAGAATCTTCTTCACCAGTTGGTGGAGACGGGAATTCTGTGCCAGCCACCTCCACCACCTCTAACAATGGCTGGCTGTCTACAGAGAGCATAGAGGACACTGATACATTCATTAAACAAAATAAATTCAATACATTCATTTCAAAACTCCCACCCTGAATGAGCACATACCTCCAGAGGGGAATCACAGAGGAATCGTGTGAACTGCATCGAGGTGGAGTGAGCAGTAACACGTGCCCAAGAAAACAGCCCAAATATGCAAAGCAGAAAAAGAAAGAAAACTATCAGCAATGTGTTAGGATACATTCATAGTCAAATACACTCTTTCAAATCCATATCTTTGAAAAGCAACATCAGACTTTGCTTATGGAAATTTCATTTAAACCCTTAAACTCTCACATTTGGTTTAGAAGTACAAACAGACACAATAATTAACTATGCAAAGTATTTTCTAAAAAACAGAAGATGGTTTTTAAAAAGGTGATGTGAGAGAATTATCACCCTGTAATAGAGGTCTGTTTCTGTACCCTTTATTTTAAATTACACATTACCCTCCTCTGTGACTCCCTGCAACAGGGAGTCTTTCCCAACTCTTCCACTGGTACCCCCCCTACCACCAAAGCAATGGGTTTGGGGCCCTCATACATCTTAACAGAAATTAATTAATTTATATTCAAAATTAAAAGCAAGCTCATTTTAAGTTTTAAGAAGAGGAAAGAAAAAGAAAAGAAAGAAAATCAACCTCCTGAAAGTGCAACCATTTCAAACCTGAATTTTTGACTTAATACAAACTGATGTGCTGCCAAGAATAACCCAAAAAGGCAATGTTTAATGATCTGGAGCTTATCCAAGATTCTTAGAGAAATAAAATACAATACTTGTTTACTCACTATCATTTACTTATTTGATACAAATACTTCCTTATCGTTGGAGTCCACATTAAACACATTGCAGAGTTCTGATTTGTATTTAACCCCAAATATTCCCTTGTTAAACAACTACTTTAATACACAGTTTAATTCCCCCCTCTCGTAATGGCTGGGTGATTTAGTAAGACAGCAATTCCCACACTACAAAGTAATAGTAAATAAGAAATTTTAATTAAAGGTTAGATAAAAAGAATACATATAGACACCTACAAAAACCTGACTGTTGGCAAGATTTTGTTGTCAAGAATTCCATTAAATTCTGAGATCAATTAAAGGGGAATACAAAAATCTGGGGTGATTGCTCATCAGCCATCTCATTTTTCCCAGGGAAGAGGAAGAGAGGAAGGCAAACAGCAATAGAAAGTGCCAACAGTATCAGCTGCTGCCTCATCTTGCTCTTCTTGTCCTGCTGATCTATGGATTGATGGGAAACCTTTGGACACAGACTTTATGGAAGAACACTGAATTTCTAAATTGTGATGGTGAAGGCAAGGGATTGTGCATTTCCTATTATTTACCATTTCAGATGTAGTCACTATCACTTTAAATTACTCAGAGTTTGGAAGAACAAATGACTGTGGTATCTTAAATTAATCGTAGAATTATTTTGGTCTGGTGGATAAGGAAAATAACACAAATAATATTTAAAGAAAAAGAAAGGTAATTAAGATTTTGATTTATTGAGTTATTTTCCTGAAATAAAAATACAGAGTTACAAATTCCTACACTATGAGTGCCTCTGTCCCTACAGCCAGTGGTTTTAGAAAGTGCAGGTTTCAGAAAAAATAAACCATGTGTTATTAATTTTCATGTCAGAAGACCCCCAATTGTTCTTAATCTGTAATTTTAGCTATATGGTGCAAACTAAACCCTATGGTGAGAAACCTGAGCCCACGACACTTTTCAAATAGTTTTATCAATTCTCCAGGCCCTGCTGCCCAATCCCTTGGCTCTGAGGGTGAAGGGGGACTTTTCAAGTGTACCTAAGCATATCTTCTGCTGTTCCAGCTGCTAGGAAAAAAAAAAAATCTTAACTGCACCTGAATTTGTATCACAATCTTAAGGGAAAAAAAAACCAAAACACTGCTAGTCTTGTTATAAATTATTTCACTATTAATAATACCCAATAAAGTTGAGGGGTTAGATAATTTTCTTAAACTAGTCTATCCATTTATGTAAAAAGAAGAAACCACTAGATTAAATTTCTAAATTAACAAACTCATCTAACACTGCAAGATTGTTATGAACACAATTAAAAATTATTCAATAAACCATGAAAGAAATACAGCCAAAAGATGATGTTGCATGTTAAATAACTCAGTATGGCACACATACACAATTCAAATTCCTTACACAACACCACGCTTTTCTAATTTTAATTTCCAACTGATTTACATAAACTTTTAAAAGCTAGATAATATATAAAAAATTCATGACATTTTTACTTTGGTGTAAACTAATTACAGCTGCCAGAAAGAATCATCTCAACAACAGGGAGTAAGTTGAAACATAATTAATAAACCTAAGAGAAGAAACATATCACTGAGAATGAAATCAAAGAGAGAAAAAAGGCAGAAAAATAAAAGGCAGGCTGGGTCCAACCCAAAGCTTCTTGCTGGAGCAAGAGCACGTGCACAGCTTTAAAAAGAGGTAAAAAACCAGACTGTTAACACTGCTCCCTTTTACACAGGGGGAAGAGATTCAGGTGCTGAACTGGAATGGCTTTCACCTGGCAGCTCAGGGCTTTCTGGAAGGGAAGGTTCCTGATGCCACAGGAGGCCACCACGTCCTTCTCAGGAAACCTTCCAGGTGCCACCAGCAGGAACTGCACAATTATCTGAGCTAGCCCATGAAAAGGCACCACAAAAAGCATTCATTTATCATTTCCCCTTTGACAGTATTAACAGTTTGTTCTCATTAACAATTCTCTGTCAAGGGAAGCTGAGCACTTGTCCTTTTCCCTGGGCTACAGAGGGGTGAGAAATGTATATGGGATTTGAGCCATCCTTTTTGTTTTTTAAAATCCAATCCTTGAATGGGATTAAAATAAACCAAGGAGTTTGGTCATGAGGTTTTTTGTTTTATTTTTCATAGAGGTCCAAGGCTCATATTAAAATGAAAAATAATGATGACAAATCATAAAACCTGCAAATCCAGTGTGTCACCTCTCTGCTGTCATATATGAATTGAAATAATCTTCCTTATCCAAAACAGATAAGAATCAATATTAATATGTACAGTGAAAATGTAAAAATGAGCCTGACTTTTAGTAAGGTGAGGAGATACTGCTAACAACCCCTCCCAAGAAAAATGAACAAAATTCTTTAAGTTTCTGTAGAAATCAGGAAAAGGAGACAAAATTGGTATTTTTACAGGAAAAAATGGTGCCAACCTGCCTTGAACTGGGCAATAAACTAGAGTTCAGCAGAGGAATCAAAGACTTATCCCGGGGGGGGCTCTATTTAGCATTTTCAACAACTGCTTACAAAAATACAGGAATGCTAAAACAATTGAGTTTCAGAGATATCCACAGATCTGAAGGTGAAGGAAGAGCCTTCAAAACACAGCAAGAAGGATTTAAAGTTTACAAAGGAAAGAGGGATTTAAAGTTTAAATGCATGTCTCAAATGTAGTTTCCAGTGCAAGAATGGGACTAATGAAATAATTGCTGATACATTTCAGTTCCAATTTGAATTCCTTTATGGAGTGACAAAAGTCACTGTGGCTTGCTTGCTCAGAAGAAACTTCTCAATATGCTGGAGGTTTATCAGTCTTACAGTAAAGATTATTTAATTTTATATGGATTTACACAGACAATGCATGTGTGTATAAACTGAGATGCAAAAAGAATCTGAACTAAAATTATATGACTGTAGACAAGTCACTTAATTGTCTGCATACCTAATTTTTTGGGGTCTTACAGGCATTTTATGATAAAATCCATGAATCCACAGCACTGCAGTCACAAGGGCCACAAAAAAGGCATTAGGCTGATACAGAAACATTCCTTCTAAGTCTCTGAGTCAGAGCTACCAGGATGTGAAATCCAAGTTCCACTGCAGTGAGATGCTCTGCCATGGCTTCCAGGAGCTGTATAAAAATGTATAGAAGGCTAAAAATAACCACAAAGGCTATTGATTTTTAAGCATTCTCTCACAGGAATATAAGGAGGAAACTTGGAGGGACCTTAAAGTTTGCAACTGGCTGCTGATACCAGTTTGGAACTGATCAGAACGTGCTCCTTGGCATTTCCCAGACTACTCACTCAGTTTTCTCTATTAGTTCAAGTGGATTCCTGGGAAGCAATTAAAAAAATAAAGGGGAGGTGAAAGAAAAACCCCACTCTACGCATTTCAGTAATTTTTTGCACCTTTTCAAACAGTGTATCTTTTGTGTGTCCTGAAATTCTTTTCTTCCAAGACAAATATTTAGCTAAGCACAAAGCAAAGAGAGGGTCCAGCTACTTTCACAGAGGGAACAGACAGATACTGTTTTTCTACAAGTTTGTCATTATGAAACCCTTGTGAAAAGTTAAATAAAACGTTTGCTTCAGGAGGTCTAAACATCAGTAAACCGTTCACTCTTGCTCTCTCTGGAAACTACTGTAGAATTTTTATGATCTTTTATGGAAATGTTTTCTAGCTTGTGTAGCTGCCACATAGCTTGTTTCAGTTACACTTCAGCTGTGTTTCTTAAAGACAAAGATTGCTGTAAATAGACTTGAGGATTCTGACACTGGGGTCAGAGATGTGATGCCTCTGATGAGATGATACTTCATTAAAAACTGCTAAAGACACCCTCTATTCTATCCAAATCACACCTTGATTATTTCATTGGATCAAAAATTTCCTTCTTGGCATGAAAAGGCCAAAAAATGTATTTGTTTCACCTAAGATCTTTGATCCAGACCTCCACAGTTCCACATCTGTATCTATCATTCCATCTGCTTCATCTAAAACACAAGAGATTCAGGTGGCAAAAAGTTCTGAACTATCTGTCTCCAGGTACACCAAAAACCATCCTGAAGCTGGGTAGAGTTGGATCACAGCATCTTCCAGGTGATTTGTATTCTGCAAGGCCCTCCCTGCATTTCTTACCCACAAACAGGGATCTTTTTCTACTGAGCAAGAGTTAAAATATTTGCAGGTAAGGACTGCTCTTAGCAAAGCACAGAAAAGCCATTACACACCTTCCATAAATCCAATGGAAATGGATCATCCAAAGAGTCAAAACTTGGGATTATACAAGACACAAGTTCATTCTTCTTAAGTCTCAGAGTATCCTTCCCTATATTAATCTACACATTTTCTCCCAGAAATATAACCAAAGGCTATTAAAAGTTCCTTGATTTTAAAAACAGACTCCAAATCCATATTTATCTATTTCTCTGTGCATGAATTATTACAACAAAGCTGTATCAGCATTTATTATTTTTCTTATGCAAAGTGGAAAAAAAAAGGTGAACAAATCCTCAGCCACATGATTTGTTTGCATGATTATTTTACTGTTCATATGCTGCTCAGCTCCATAATTTATGCTCCAACTGATCTTTCACTGTTTCTACAGGGAACCAAGGTTTTTTCAATATAAGAATACTCAGCCTACTCTCATCTCTCTGTTCATTAGAGGTCTCCATGTCTCACTTTTTCGAAGATTTTCTAAGATTTTAATTTCTTTTCCTTATAGGTTGACCCATTTCACAAAATAAATATAACCACCACTAAGCCAGGAAATAACCTAAACAAATAAATGCTTGCAATTAATTACATCTGTGGGGGTTTTGTATGTTACAGACACAGTTCCTCAAGCTAATCATGATTACATCTTCCACTACTTTAGAAACAACTCAACAAACAAGAAAACAACAAAACAAAAAAAGCCACTGAAGAACAGCTCTGTTATACTGGGAATGGGATATGGTGACCATCATTTTGGACCTGACATAAAGATCCACATAAAGCTTTTTCATAAAGGGGCAGAAGAAATGCAAAGAATGGGACAAACATTAACCCAGATTGTTTCAGTAGCTTCCAAAAATGAGCAGCTCAGGAACCTGGTTATTTCAAGAGCACCCTTGGATAAACTTCTCCAGTAGGCAGGGATACAAGTATCTTCCTATTTTCCACTACTTTACCTTACCTTCTTTATAGTTATTTATAATTGAACTTCACAATCTGTTCAGGTTCTCCCTAATCTCATTTTCTCCAACAACTATAATAAGAATACATATATTCCTCAAACAGATGCCCGTGCATTTACACAGTGGCTTAATAAAGTTTTATACTCCCACAGAGAAGAACTGAAAAAATCAATTCTTCCTCAGCACTATTTAAGAGCAAGTATTCTAAAGACGCTTTCAATAAGAAAATTGTCTGCTGTTTTTCCTCAGGAAAATTCCATACAATACAAACATGCTGCCATAAACATCCAGAATTGACTCCACTCCAAAGCACAGAGACAACCAGGTCAGTTTTGAACTGAATTCCTGCAGCAAGTGATCAAAAGTTCTTCAGAGGAGTGAGAGGATTTCCAGGGTAAATTCAACTTCTACCAGACAAATTAAGAAAAAAATGCCATCATGAATATTTTAAGACTATGCAGAACATAGTTGTGGTTTTTATGCCAAGATAAAGATCGATTTGATTTTTTTTCTCTTGCAAGCTAAATTGGTTTTAATTCCAGGAGCAAGGAAATACTTCAAACTGTTCCTAGAATATTAACATATTTGGCAGAGAGACAATATATTTCTACCTTACCTAATTCTCTCCCTGCCAGTGAAAGAGAAACAGAAGATTGTGGTGATGCTTCCATAGGAAGAAAAGTTTCATCACAAGTCTGGAACTTGGAAAAAGTTGATTTCATAATGAAGTTTCCACTTTGGTTTTTATTAGAACAAACAGAAGTCAGTGCCTCACTCAGGAATCAGTACTGCATCACCAAAATGCGCTGCAGGATTCTCCCCAGAAAAATCTCCAATTATTTTAATGAACACACTGTAATTAGTGCTGCCCAATCTTCAGCAGGGAAGCAGAAGAAGGAAAGGAGGAAAAGGCAAAATTTTAAATTTAAATTTAAAAGACTCAATTTAAATTTAAATTTAATTTTAAAAAGACTCAGCATCATGAAGGGCACCGAAACAGCAGTTATCACTGGTCTCAAACTGGCATTAACCAGAAAGTGCCCAGAAGTTCAATTCCACAACTCTCTGCCCTGAAAATCCTCTGCTCTCCCTTCCCACTTCAAGTCCTGATGGAAAGCTGTATTTACATTACTGAGGTGCAAAAAGGCCTTCTCCACACCCACTGAACAATAATCAGCTTCACTGTCCATGTATTTCTTATTACTATTGTGAACATTTTTATAGTTTTTCCCATTAGTGTTATTCTCAAATAACCACCAAAATTCTAAATTGAATTAGAAGAGTCTTAGAATTGCCTTTTAATGTAATAAAGTAAATATTAAACTAGCCTAGCAACAGATACTATACTGTAATGCCAACAATCTAAGAATATACTCCCAAAATAAGTTGTTAATATGTCCCATAACAATCTTTGTTGGAGTCTGAATTTAAATATAGGCAGGTTTCTAAAAATGAAGTGTTCACCCAAATATAAAACTAAATAATATAAATAATACTAATAAATAAATAAATAAATCTGGATAATATAAAACTAAGAACTCTTCCTAAACTAAAAACTTTCCAAACACAAAAGTGGGAAGGACTCTCCCTGAAAAAAACTTCAACAACCTCACAGAGTAGTTTGCATGAATTAAAAGTGAAACAATCCTGGATATTTGCCAGTTTAAAGTGTAGAGCAGACTCCTTACTACCCCGAAAAAAAGTCCTCTGTATAGGATAGAATTTTATTCTCTTTGCCTAAAAAACTCCCTGGTTCCATAATGTCTGTATGATATATTAAAAAGTCTGAAAAAGAGGAAGCAGAAAAAGCTTGGAGGTCTCACAAGTAGCATTTTCCACCCTTCCTCTCAATAACTTGGATCAGTTTTATCCAACTTGGTACCTTAAAAGGGACTCAGATAACTCTCTTCCCACCCAAATTTTTGTGTAAAACATTCTCCAGTTTACTTCCTGCAGAGATCAAATACAAAATGTCAATTGAAGTAAGAGTGTTAGTTCCTAATTGCGAATAAAAAAACCCTTCTTGGCCAGGCAGTCTCATGGACACAAAATATGATTTACCAAGGCTGAAAAAGAACCTAAATTCAAACCCATCAGCATCAGACCAAGTTTTTAAATTCAGTAGATGCTTCAGAGAAGGTTTTTTGTTTCCCCTGGAATTATCTAAGCCTGCACAAATGTGAGGCCAAAGAGAGGAGATAAATGCAAAGTAGGGAAAGCCCTATGATAAGTAATAAGGAAAAAGAGGATAAAAATCTGTTCCACTATTAGCAGTGAACAGGAATCCATCTCCTTCCTATCCAACAGCAATTCCCAGGACAGCCTTTAGACCTTCAGGTGGTGGAAACCTGACTGTCCCTAACACATCTTTCTAGGCTGAACTACTTCCATCAAAGCAGAAAAATCAAGTCTCAAATCTGCTCAGGTAATGCTTGGTACAAATCTAGTAAATAGCTCAGTCTCTCTTGGCATGCCTCCAATTTTTACATTATTATAATTAAACCCACTTATTGCAGCAATTATAAAGAGGGTAGAGACTACTACTTACTATTATGAGACCTATTATTTTACTAAACAAAGTGAAATGGATTTTATGGCTTTCCAGAGCAGCATTACAGACATCTCACAAATTAAAAAAAAAAAAAAAAAGCTCTCCTTACACTCTTTTGAACTAAAGCCAAAAATTATGATGTGGTTTTACAACTCTACCTGGAAAACAGCCCCAGTTTACAAGGTTTTGCTTTGCAGGTAGTTCACTCTCAGGAACAGAAAATCCTGACCAGTAATAAAGCTGCACATCTGCAGTAGAAATGACAGATCTGAGGTAGCATTTTCACTAACTCTACCAATGAGGAGGTTGTGCCACCTGCCAGAGAAATTAAGAACTGCTCCTTGTTCAGAACCCCACAAATATTTTTAATTATTTTTAATTTATTAGATTAAGATTATGCTCTGTAAGCACCCTTTTAAGAGCAGGATTTATCCATATGCAACATATTCTCATCAAGCCTCAGAAGACCAGCTGATGAGACATTTTTGCACTATTCCTACTGTAAAGGTGAGTTCCAGTTGAGCAGCGTGCTTAGCATTGGAATGAGAATAAAATTGAGACTTTTAAAACCTTCACCTATTAAATTAAGTGAGAACACAAAAAATTAGGGAGATAAAAAAGGTACTAAAGAACTTTAAGGCAAAGATGATTTTGCCATCAAAAAACCTCAGAAATGGCAATTTCAATAATTTAATATTTAGACAGCATTTCCCACCATTTAGTTGTGCATTTGAAGAAGGTGTTTTCAGAAAGGTGCATGCAGTGAACTGTACCTCATTCTCCCCACAGTCAGAAGGTGTGTCCTTGTGCACAGACATCTGATACTTGGCAAATAAAGTGGCAGATTGGTTGAAGGATGATTTGAACTGGGGGTCCTCAAAGGAGACAGGTACTAACCTCACCTTCAGAGCAAGGGAAATACAAGCATTCTGTTTTGAGTGCATATCATCAGATCATCTGCTACTGAAGGTCAGGCTAGTGAAAGATCTCCTCCTAGCCACTTCAAAGCCTCTGAAATCAGTTTTCTACCTTCAACACAATAATAAGACAGCTTCCTATTTTTGCTCATATCTAACAAACCAACTGCAAATTTTAGTTGTATTGCAGAGTCTCAAGGACTTGTTAAAATGTTTTCTTTTTAACAGCACATCGCTCACTGACTGCCCTGGTTCAACAATTACTTGTTCTTCCTACATATACTGTTTCTCCAGGCTCATGATATTTTTTTCCTTATAGAATAGAGGTGTAACACATCTGCCAGTTCACTCTTGCACTCCACCTATTCACTGCAGGCAGCAGCAACAACGTGTAAATTCAGGTGGAGTGCATAGATCACTTTTTAAAGGCTTCAATTGAAACTGAAGAGAATGATTTCACTCTGGTGAACCTTAAACCAACAATTTGTGTGTGTGATAAACTTCTGCTCACATCTTGGCCCTGATCATTGTATCCTTCTGATGGAAATATTCAAACCAAAGCCAAGGAGGTCAGCTATCAGGCTGAGTGTCCAGGTGGATTTAGTTTTTATAAGATTTGTATTTTTAAGGCCCATCTCTACCTCCAAGAGCCTCACCCTCTCCATTTCTTACCCAACAGCATCCATAACTTTTCTGCCTGCAACTACAGTTTGTGGCATTCACAAAGAGGTACCAAGAGTTTGCACTTTCAGGATGTTGATTTTATTGGATCCAGTATTTTACAAGCTCCTGAATACATAATGGATATAAAATCCATATTTGTTTCTCCTAAAAACAGGACACGTGAAATGGAGAGGAAGCTTTGCATAAAATTAAATTTGGCCTTCTGACCTGACTTATGGTTGGTTTATCAGGTGGGTCCTTGTGAATAACCATCTGGTAACGTTTATAGACCTGGTAAGACTCCTGAAATGTGGCTTTGAACTGTGAACTTGGTGGAGATGATCTCACCACCCTCACCTTCAGAAGAAGTTAAACACATTTATAATTAAAATATCATGCAATAACTATACATTTATACATAACAGAAACATCACAACAGAGAGGAATTTCACCCTCCTGCACAAGGGCCATCACAAATTAATTACTATTAGTCAATAGTCTTCTAATTCTCCAGCTCACTTTACATTGCTGAAGACTTTCATATTTACAGTGAATAACACAGGAGGTTTTCAAACTTCAAATGAACTGAAATGCTTAAAGAAGAACCACACAGTTTTCAGGAAATAATATCAACAAATGGTATGCAGATCCTAATTTTAAAGAGGTTTTCTGTGCTACTTAAAATATTGTCTCATAGTGTCATCCTGTTTGGAAGACTTAAATCTCTGCTCTTCATCCAAAAATCATATTTCTATGGCAATAATCCCAAGGGGATTTCCAGGTATTTTTGAAACTGAAAGAAGAAAATGAAGCAGTGTTTCCATACTCAATTCACCATTAAATACACAAAAATAATTTTAAAAAAAATCTATAAATTAAACATTCTTCTTAGTAAAAATGATTGCTGTCTAAGCAAAAGAATGCTACTACATAGGCAGCAGTGCATGTTCTTTCAAAAATATTTAAGGTCATATTAATTTCAAAAAATTATGTAATATTCAGAATGGTTCTATTTTCACAAGGAGCAAAATTTTTTAAAATCCTTTTAATTCTCCTTGTATCTTCTAATTGAAGATGCTCAGACAAAGTCATCCTGCTTCTGTTAAACAACTCCTCAGGAAATGTTAAGGAGTTAGGGAGATGGATCAATTTCATGGCTTCTAGTCAACAAATATTTTCATTTCCAGTACCATCACTGAAAATGATTGGGAAAATATTCAGTTAATTTTCCAGCTTATGGAAAAAATAACAAGAAAAATGGTTTTATGATTAACAAACGTTAGAAAGTCCAAAAGTCTTCCAGATTACTGTCTCTAGTAGATGTAGTGGCAACTAGTATATTAAGCAAACTTTTTTACTCTCATTTTTACAGCTTTCAGACATCAACACAAACCAACGATGAGTATAAAGAGCAACTATCTTGTTATCTGATTAATTTCATGAAGTTACTGCTTCCTTGTCAAGTTTCATTAGCTTAGATCATTTAAGTATTTACATACAACAGACCTAAAGACTGAATTTCTCTCATTATTTAACACTCGGTTAATTCAAAGTTTTTCATTTTCAAGTCACACTGTATGAAATTAATTTGCAAGTTATTTTAGTAACTGAACTGAACTCTGCTATGACTGATTGCAGTGCAAGGGTACCCTCCTGTGGTTAAAAAGAGTGCAGCTGCACCATAGGTGTGTAATTTATATAAATACATATATATATATAGATATATACACCCTTACAGTGCATATCTATATATAAATATACATCATTCAGTACCACAATATATTTCAAGATTTAAGGCACACAACTACTCCATAAAGCCATAAATACAGACCTAAGTTTTTCAAAAACTCCTTAACTAAACATCTGCCTCCAACAACAGTGAACAAGACATTACCTCTAATTTGTGTTGTGCATCATCAGGTAGAGGGACAAAAATAAAGTCTTCAATGTTTTTAGGCTGGTTTGTTTTAGATTTAGAGTTTTGCAAGAGGAAAGCTTGATCTCCTTGAAGTTGAGAGCCTTCTACTGTGCCCATCTGGTTCTGCAGGAGCTTCTGCAGTTTTCTCTCTTTCCTTATGTCCTTTGCTTTCCGACACAGGGGCTTGCTCAGGTCAGCCCCTTTCCCTACAAGGGCACAGGCAAAGAGTTAAACACCACATCTGACAACAAATGAGCAGCTCTTACCTCACCTCTGGAAAGAAATGACCAAAATCATCATTTACTGCAGACTGTGGTGTGAACTCAACATGACCTTTCACATTTACAACCACCAACAGCTGATGCCACGCTAATGCAGCGATTCTTCCACAGCTATTTACTGCAGCACTCTAATCTGGAATCACCTTGACCATTTCACCCCAAAACCAAGGGTATATTGAAAAAACTTGAAATACTGAAGGACAAAAATACAACACAAAATCACAGATATTTGTTCTGCATTTAAAGCCCACATGGCTACACCACAGACTCCTGTAAAGACACACACCCCAGAATAAAGCATTGATTTGTTCTCACCTGGAATCCATAGGCAGGATGTAGAAATGCTGCCAATGCTACTATGGTTGTGTAATGGAAGAGTAAAAGGCCACAAAAGTTTGCATCTGCTTAAAATTACTTTCAGATTGTCTGTTTTAATTAATAAATTCACTTTTGGCGGTTTATTTTTAACAAATCAGTCACTTATAGAATTTTATTTGTGCAATGGTGTTTGTGAAAAAGTCAAACCTATGCACTATTTCTCATCTTGATCCATTTGTTTCTTACTAGAACAAGAACTGCAAGTTCTAAACCAACACAAATCCAAAGACATGAGGGAATTACAGACACTATGTGACCTGTCCTCAGGCAAACAAGTCAGAGGAAGAGTTTATTTAAAACTCTCGTGATATATTTGAAGAATGAGTACTTCATCTGTATCGGGATCTGTTTTGTGTCTCAAATCTTCTGTAAGCTGTAAATTAGCAAGAAAAACTTCTTAAAGCAGTGACTGTGCCTACACAGATATAAGCAAACCTTCTTTTCTATCTGAAACTGTGCAGAAACAGACCATTATTCCTAGAGGACAATGACCTGCTTTGTTTATAAAGGAATAAAAATGCAATTAAACAATCTTATTACTGACTAAGTCTACATTTTCAAGATGAAAACTAAACATCTTTCTATCTGGAAAATTTTAAACTGAATTTGACCTGTGACACTAGCTAGCATTCAAAAAAAAAAATTAAATAAGCTTTCTGATGCACTTACTATTCAGTTTTATCTTTAAAAACACCCAAAAGAAGCCCACTAATGAATATTTATACTCTGTAAAATTAAACCCTTTTTTTCTGAAATGCACTACAATGTTACTTATTTGCATTTCCAGTGCTTAAAGTTTGACCCAAAGATATTCTTAACCTAACTGAAGACCTTACCTCACCTTTTCCAAAGAACTGTCAGGTTTTTAAACACCTATTCTTTACCCAAGTCTGCCCTCTGCTGTCAACAGCCACTTCATTTCTTTCCAAAGTTAAATTTACATAGGCCAAGGTTTTCAATTTATTATTAAACAAGAGAGCTTTGAAAATTTGCACAACAAAATCATATAAGAAGTAAACTACATAAGGGCTGTAAAGGTTTGTATAAGATCAAAATATAAAATGCAGTTTTAAAAATTCTGTAGTATTTCTAGGCAACAATACTGATTCTCTGATCAAGTATTTCTCAAAATTTTCCTTTTATTTAGATGCAAAAATTGCTTATTAATCTCGTGAAAATCGGATTCAAGAGGGATGAGTGGTTATTAAAGGAAAAAACATTATCTCACTTATAGGGAAAGAGACAAAAGTACTTTGTTCTCCTAAATACTGGCACAACATGCAACAGGTGAGTGAGTAATCTGGAATTAGTAGGATGTCCCAAAATAGACAGAAACTCTAAAGCCACGAGTTTCCACTAGTAAACCACAATTAAGGAAATTCCCTTTATTTTCCAGAACAGGCTACACAAAATGAGAAGCGTGATCTGTAAGACAAGGCTGCCTTACCTGTAGCCTCACGGCCACAAAGTGTCTGTCAGCAATTCTACCTTAAATAAATTATTCTGGCAATAATCCACCCACTCCTTACCATCTTCCTTCCAGAAATCACCCATGTCCCAAGAGAAGGCAGCCATTGAATCACTCAATGGTTTGGGCTGGAAGAGATCTTTGAAAGGACACCTTCCACTGTCCCAGGTGGCTCCAAGCCCCACCCTGGCCTCGGACACTTCCAGGGATCCAGGGGCAGCCGCAGCTTCTCTGGACAACCTGTGCCAGGGCCTCCCCATCCTCATCATCAAAAATTTCTAATCTGAGTCTCCCTTTTTTAGTTTCAGATCCTAGAGATTCAGTCTTACTTAAGGTGAGGAAAAGAAGATAACTTTTTAATATAACAAAACATAAACTAAAATATTACAAGTAACACCCAGCACCTCTTAATTTTTACACTGTAATTCCATAAATTGGGAGGAGCACAGGAAATAAAAGAAAACAAATATTTATTTACTAAGCAAGATAAAAAAGAAGGGATTTCAAGATGTGAAATGATGACAGCATATTCCAATTACTACCAGAAATTACCTGGCTTAGGTGGTGCATGAACAGCTTTAGCTGAATGTGATGGTTCTGCAGGGAGTGATGTGTCTTTGTCTGTACAGATCTGAACAGAATCCAATTCCACCTTCGGCACATTCCCCTCTTCTTTTGTTTCTCCTGAGTCCTTATCTTCATCCTCCACCCTCTCAGAGTGATCCACAGCCAAGGGAGTCAGTTCAGACTGACTGACCTGAGACTCGTTTTTGTATGGAAAATCACACGTGGCCACATCATCTATATGGGCATCCATCGGCTCTTCTGTCAATAATTAACACCTCATGAGTGATTTTCTCTCTATACAACCACAGCTCATATTTTTCACAATTAAAATTAATACTAAATTAACTAATTTCCAATTTTACAAGTGTTTTCCCACAGACAAAGTGACTATCTGAACACAGTCTGAAAACAAAGTTTCCTTTATGATCCCAAATTACAGATATCAATTAATTTAAGAGTTTCATTTTCTCCACTAAAATTGGGACAGCCAACTATTTCAAGCTATAACTTCAAGTAAATAACAACAAACAAACCTAGCATACCACACACACAAAGAAGAGGCAAATTGTAATGATTATAATGATTCAGAACCAATACAAGTTTCACCACCACGAAGAATTGCTGGGTTTGGTGCTGGATAAATGGAGGGTGATTGTTCAGTCACTTAGGAAAACCCTCTTTGTTTGCTCTTCCTTTTCTCTGCCATCAGCTGCTCTAGTTAGTCCTCTCCAGGTTACCAGTTTCATGACAGATGTAAAAACAGCATCTAATTCTCAACAGCACCCAGCTAGAAAGTGAGGACATACCCAGGAAAACAAGCTGGTCTGTGGAAAAAGGAAACATTTTCTTCAATAACCCAAGTCACCTAAACAATTTGGCTTCTGGGCTAATGATTTGCTCAAGAAACAGCCCAGCCAGGGGTCTACACACAGAATTCAAAGCTCATTTGACCACTCAAGCAGGTATTTAAATCCTCCTTCCACGCATCAGTATTGGTTTTCGAACACTCAGAGTTTCTTACCTTCACTCGCTACTTTCGAAACATCTCCTTTGGAAATAAATTTCAACATTTTCTTCAGAACCTTCTTGTGGGACTTGGAGGCCTGAAAATGCAAAGCCCGGCACCTAAAGAAAAAAAAAGAGAACATTTCTTTTGTGAAAGATTGTTTCAGGAAAAAAGGGTTAAGGAACAATTTACAAAAATTACATTGTAATTTCTATTTATTATTTCTTAAGTATTCCTATATTGAGTGGTCAAATGTTTTATCAATGCTTTTGAGATAATAAAATTGCGTTGTCTTCTAGTGAATAATATCAGTCTTTAGGACGTGTTTTTCATGTGTATCTCTAGAATTACTAAAATAGAAGTGTAAGCCTCTCTTATTTAGTCTGCTAAAGCAGTGTTTGTGGATTACAGACAAAGTTCCTTACAGGAAAATATCCCAGAGCTGCTAATGTCCCTATGCACAAACCCAAGAAGATATACTAACTGTTCAAAGTATCATTAAAAGTAGATAAACTTCTCAAGTATGATGTATTTCAAGCAGTAAACACAAACGCTGGAGCATATTTGAAGTGGTTAAATCCCTTACAAAAGTGTATTTTGAGTTTCTTACCTTATTGTGTACTGAGGACAACATGTTTGATTCATGATAGGTTTGTAGACATATTTTCCACTTCTGGAAAGAGTAACAAATATGCATTGATTTTTTTGTTGTTGCTTATACCACAAAATAAATGAAGAAGCTTTTTTATTAAAATCACATCAAAACATTTCATAATAAGTAACAAAAGTCAAAAAATAAGTTCTTCAGTTCTTTGCTGACCATATTATCCTTCTGAGACAACTGAATACTTTTATGTTTGACAGTGTCACATTGCAAAAGGTCACAGAGCATTGGACAAATAGTTCAATTACTCATGGATATGTAAGTGTTTCTAAAGATCTAAATTTTAAATGTGGATTCTAACTTTTATTTCAACAGACAACATGACTTTGTATTTTCTTTTTCAATGTACCTTCGCCATCCTCTGTCAATGAGATCTTGGTAATCTTGAACTGTCATCGAATGTGCCCACATACCTGAAATAAATAACACACCAACACACTTGACTGACCGTGGTTTGGTTTTGAAATACAACAAACTCCACAGAACGGGCTGGAGCCCCTCTGCTCTGAGCCAGGCTTGGGGGTGTGCACCCGGAGAAGGCTCCAGCAACACCTCAGAGCCCTTCCCAGGGCCTAAAGGGGCTCCAAATGAGCTGGAGAGGGACTTGGCACAAGGGATGAAATGACAGGACACGGAGAATGGCTTCCACTGCCAGAGGGCAGGCTAAGATGGGACACTGGGCTGGAATTGTTCCTGGCAGGGTGGGCAGGCCCTGGCACAGGTGCCCAGAGCAGCTGTGGCTGTCCCTGGATCCCTGGCAGTGCCCAAGGCTGGGTTGGATGGGGCTTGGAGCAGCCTGGGTGAGTTTGAGGTGTCCCTGCCCTGGCAGGGGTGGCACTGGGTGGGCTTTAAGGTCCCTTCCAACCCAAACCAGTCTGTGGTTACTGCAACTCTGAGTAGCTAATGGCCACTTATACAGAGATGTCTTTCAAGTATTTGGCACGTTCTTAAATATCATAATTACTGATTTCAATAAAGCCCACCACAAATCTTGGGATGCAATCAACCATATTTTTCTGACCGAACCAGCGCTAAGTTCCCCTCCGCACCTCCCATTTCCCCAGAAATACACAAGGAAAACAACACAAAATTGCCGCTTAGTTCTGTCACGCTCATCCGGGAGCAGCGGGCCATAGGAGCCGTTCCCAGCTCCCGGCTGGGCGGGCGGGAGCGGCTACGGAGCCGCCGCCTGTCCCCGCCGCCGTCCCCGGCCCCGCGCCCGCAGGCGCCGCTTCTCGGCCAGCGCCGGGCGGCCGGCCCGCGGCGCCGCGCCCAGCCCGCCCCGCCCGCACCGTGCGACAGGTTGCCGGTGTCGCTCCTGCAGTAGCCGCAGCGGTAGCCATCCTCCCCGCCGAAGAACTCGACGATGCTGGCGGAGCCGCCGCCCGCCGCCATCCCCGCGGTGCCCGCCCGCCTCAGGTCAGCGCCCCGGGCCGCCCGGAAGCGGCGCTCGCCGCCATCTTTGCTGCGGGCGGCGCGCGGGCGGCGCGCACAGGAAGAGCCGCCGCCGCCATGTTTCGTGCGGGCAGCGCGGCGGGGCCGCAGCGCCGGCGCGGCCTGAGGAGCCCCGCGGCTCGGCCCGGCCCCCAGCCCCCGGCCCCGCTCACCCGCGGACACCTTGCCCCGCGCCGCGCCGCAGTAGCCGCAGCCGTAGCCCTCCTTCCATCCCTTGTACTCCACCACGGCGGCGGGCATGGCGCCGGCCGCCCCGCAGTGCCCCCGCCCAGCCGCAGCCGCGCCCGGCCCAGGCTCCCCCGCGGGCGGATCGGCGGTGAAACATCGCCGCCGGTTCTGCCGCTCCTCGCAGAGCGTCCCCGTGCCCCGCAGGGCCTGGCCGGCTCCTCAACCCACACACAACAGGCCTTCCGGGGGGGATGGATCCCTGTGGATCCTCCTCAGCTGCTGCAGCAGGATAAAAGGATGGAAGAAATCCTGAGCTCTTGCACAGAGTGTCTTCTGTAAAGGGAACAAGACTTCATGCATTTTTAATGAAATAATGTCGTGGCCCCATAGAGCCGGCCTGCCCAATGCCCAAGTTACCAAACAAATACAGGAGGAGTTTGAACAAAGGAAGGGGGAACTGCTATCTGTAATTGAGACGGGATTTCCAAACTCAGACCTGTATTTCCAGAGCAGTAAGAACAGCAGGGCAGTATCTGTTCTCCGGCAGCACCAAAAATAATGTAGGATAGCAAGATTATCACAGCAGGGATGTTTAACCATGTGAATTCCACTTGCTGCTGCTGGGGCCAGACAAGGGAGGAAAGAAGGGGCACAGTATTTCCTTTTTACCTTTCTCTTGAGCACCAGTAAATTTTATATGAGATAGCAAACTGCACCATAATATATAAATAGCTCTGTGACAAGTCTAAACTTCCTCGGGTTGGCCAGAGCAGCTGTGGCTGCCCCTGGGCCCCTGGAAGTGTCCAAGGCCAGGCTGGACAGGGCTTGGAGCAGCCTGGGATAGTGGAAGGTGTGCCTGCAATGGCAGGGGGGTGGAACTGGATGAGCTTTAAGGTCTCTTCCAACCCAAACCATTCCATGGTTCTAAAAAAGCAGCTCTTATAAAGCGTTGAGATGTTCCAGAAAAAATAAATTTAATTCTACAACATATACATATAAAGCAGTTGTTGAAACAAATGTTTTGAAGTATTTTCTTTAAGGCACCTAAAGGGAAAGAAAAAAAAAAAGACAGTAAGACAATATGCATTAAGATTCGGAACTGACAAAACAACAGTGAAGTGAGGACTTCAGTCCTATCATTGGAAGAATTTTATGGAAGCAGAAGGGAAGACAGACTGGTTCCCTCTAAGCCCTTCTTCAGACTACTTTATTAACGTCATCAGCTATCAGGAAGTTAAGAAACCAAACAGAAAAACTAAGCTATGATTCTTTCCAGCACTGCATTCTGAGTATAAAGTTCCAAAGAATAACTCACCACTTCACTGACCAAACTCAAAAATAAAGTGTTTTTTTTCCCCAGGTAATCATTGCATACAAAGCTAAATTACATTTTGTTTCATCAAGAGGGCAAGAACACAGCAATTTCAGATGTTACAGTCACCATGCTTACAGTTCTTCTGCATTTTTAAGTCACAGGTAGTTTACCTGAAGTTCTTCCAAGCACATAAGGAACTTACTGAGTTTGATTTGTAAAAAGAACTTACCTGAATAGTTACTCTGTGTCCATGTCCTCTTCAGTGCTCTGAGAAAGAGGGGTAATCATGGCTTCTTTTATCTGAAATATTTCTATGATCTCCTGGTTAGAGATAACAGCAGCATGTCAGTCAGCAGAGCTCAACTATTTCAATTTAATTACCACTAAGCAAATAATAAAGTTTCTGATACTAAAGCACTATTTCAAATGAATACATTTCCCCTGCACATTCTGAGTGAGGGACAAAAGAAAAGAGCTGTGTGTGTGCTCAAAACTACTTTTTGTCTAAGATTTATTAGAGTTAGGAAACTGCATGGAGAACTTCTCCAGAGACAAGTATTATACATAAGGGAAGAAAAAGATTCCATATTTACCCAACCCTTGTGTTAAGCAGTAAAGACAAGACAATGCACAGCTTAAAAGCACTTAAACTGACCAGGCTTCAGGAATCAAAGATGGAATCACTACCCCAATTCTCAGTTTTCTTGTAGCTACAAACATCCCTTAGATCTGTGATTGTTCTGGCAACCATAAGGCCAAACGCAGTGTTACTGTACACAGAACACCTGCCCTCCGCAGAGCAGGTAACAGCACAGCTCTCAGAGGCTTAAATAAAAAAGAACTGATACAAAGTATGAAGTGCTCTCCCTGGTACCTTCCATTCCTTCTGGTCCAGACTTAGGACGACCTGGTTCCGTGCTCCAGCTCTGCTGTCCTCCTCCCCTCCCTGGCAGAGTTTTATAGGCTCTGATCAAAACACAGCATTTTCAGGATTTACACTTGTAAAGTCAGTTTCCACCAGCAACACAAAAGCTCCACAGAACTCAGATCAATCCTGCATGTTCCACCCAGTTAGTCTCTATCAGCTTGTATCAGCCTGTATCATGTACTGCTTGAGATGCTTCCTTAATCTCCCGTCTTAAAAATTTAGGAACTAACTTTTTTCAGAAGGACCTAAGTATTTCATTCCTTACGAAATCCCTCCGAAGTCCTAACCCCACTGATATCCTGTGGGAATGAAAGCCAACCTCATACGAAGAATGGCATTTCCCTTCCAACTGTTCTGAAGCTGCAAGCAGTTCCCAACTCTGAGACAAGAGAGTTCTTATTCCCAAAAATCTTTTTTCAGCCAAGTGTAGCAATGTTCCTGTACTTATTAGTAAAAATATAACCTGAAAGGTAACCTGTGATTTCTATTAATAGAATTAATTTGTATAAATCAGCATAATGGTCTTTTTCCATACAATGATATTTGAAAAGACTCAATCCTTTCAGCTGCTCAAAAATCTCTTTATGCCTTCAATTACATTCACTGCATATTCCCAGTTAAAAATATACCTAAAACTTTGTGAACACATAACATGTAATGTCATTACAAAAAACAATTAAAGTATTTTAAAGCTACATTTTACCTATTACTGGCAATTCATCTTCATCCAGCTTTATTTTTGCAAGACCATCCTAAACAACAGTGGGATTTAAAGTTCCATAACTTAGAGCTTTCCAGTTAGGATAATGCACTGAAATTTCATAGTTTTACTTCCACATAATCATGAACAGGTACATATACTGATAAAGAATCTTCATTGGCATACTACATAAGAAAGAAAACAGTTTAATACAGCACTTATGTATGAAGAAGGCAGCCCATATAGCAGTGTGTAACTGCCGGATTATAAAAGTTTTGCTATATTAAAATCATTATTATTCTCTAAATATACTCGGGATAACCCTTCTTAACAACATTTCTCTTCAATATAAAACCTGAATTAGTCAAAATATCCTTGTCAGTTTTTATTTTTTCCAGAATTAATTTTATTTATTAGATGAACTAAACATAGTTTTGAAGTGCAAATCCATGGATTCAAAAAGAAAACCTTGCACTAATACAATTTTCTACAGCCTCAACAACTCTTCTATACTCTCTGAGAACTGTTCTACATCTAAATGTGAGCCAGAATCTGTTCTGAAAAACATATTGGCTGCAAAAGTATCACTACTGTTTTGTTGCTAAGTTGATTACAGTACAAAAAAATTAAGTCTGTCAACTCTGTTTCCCTTTTTATTCGATTACCAAAATACTACAGACTGCTTGCAGAACATAAATTAGTATTCCTGACATTTAAATCCTGATTCTTCAATATTGAATGTGGAAAAAGAACAGGTCAGTATTTCTAGGTCATTCTAGTATCTAAAGTGATATTTCAAGAAAATGTCATGCCTTACCCTAATAAGGAAGGACACGTGGAACATGTTTTCCACAGTGCGTGCAAACGAGTTCGGATCAATCACAAAATCAAAGAAATAAATGGGTGTATCAGCTGGGGATGCAAAAATGGCTTTGTTAAATTAAACAAACAAACAAATAAACAGGTGCTACACACAGAGCTAACAGATGTAAACACAAACTTAAGAGAGCCAGTACACCTTTCAAAAGCTAAAGGGATGTTTGTCAATTTAGTTACCATCCAGAATTCCCAGTTGCCTGCAAAAACAAATGTTCTATAGAGTATATTAATTTCCTCCATCTTTTCCCCCATGCAGATCCATATACAGTGACTATTTGGCTGCCATCTAAAAATGGCAGGCTTTAATCAGGAGAGAGGATTTACATTTACTTTGCAGTCAAACAGCAGCTAATTAATGTTCATAAAAAAATACATAGCTGGTATATGTGCTTCAAAAAAGATTTCTACTTGCAACTTCACCTCATTTTGTCTCTGTAGTTTTACCACTCCCAACTGTAGAACACAGAGAATATACATTTACTCCAGTTAATGCTTAATTTCATCATACTTACGATCACTTTCAAAATGAGTCTGCAGTATTCTCAAGATCCTCTCTACTTCTTTTTCTGTCGCTTCTTGATGAGACTCCTCCATTTTTTTTAACTGGGAAAAAGAAGCAGAGATTCACCTCAAATAACTATTATTGAATATGCAAAGGGCCTCTTTTGAACACGTAACATAAAAGTTGAATTTTTCTCCCTATGTGCAACATAACAAACACACTTATGCCAAAATGAGAAAAATTTGAAGAGCTTTAGGATTTAATTCCCATCTTGCAATATCAGTCTGAGAGGCCATGGCTTGTATGTTTTGAGCCCATGTACAGGTGTACACTTACTTTTCAATAGCTCTGAGGAGCTGGGTTGCACAGTGCTACAATCTCTGAGTTTAATGAAGATGACCATTTGGAAGCAATCCACAAACCTTCCAGGTCCTCTTCTTCCCAGTACA